TAAGCACTGAAGAGGAAATGTCCCAGAATTGGGTAACCTTAGTTGTCCCTGGTCTTTTTTATCTCCCTAGGAAATTAAGCGTTAAGTCCATTACGAACCCTCGGTACCTGGACAGCCTGGGGAACCCATCGGCGAACGGCCTGTACGATTTAGCTCTGGGCCCTGCGGATTCCAAAGAGGTGTGCTCCACCTGCGTGCAGGACTTCAACAACTGCTCCGGGCACCTGGGCCACATCGAGCTGCCCCTCACCGTGTACAACCCTCTCCTCTTTGACGTACGTTCTGGCCGCGTGGGTCTCAGGGCTGCTGCTGGGATTCATGAGTGCCACCCGTCTCCCCGGGGGAGGTGTCTCAGGAGGTTAGCTCCAGACACTATGAAATTTAAAACCACGAGGAGCCAAATCCAGTATGTTCAGCTTGGCCTCCGGCCCTCCTGAAACCAGCTTCAGTTTGATTCCCGTTGAGAAGAGCCACAGCTGGGTTCTGTTTACACCAGGGGAAAAGCCTTCAGATTCATCCCTCTACCTTGTGCTTCAGGGGCTTTATGCCCTTCAGAAATCCGGGTGGAGCTTTCCTGGCAATAGGGAGCTCGGGGATTCTCCAGGCCTCCCTGAGCCCATCGGGTGGATTGTAGGCTCTTAGCAGGAGGAGCAAGGCTCCAAAAGGCCCGGTGCTGAGCCGAGAATGAAGTTACTGACCAGAGTCCTGCTTGTACATTTGTAGCTTCTTAACATCAGTGAACCCAGCCTCCATGATTTGTTTTAAGCTACACAGATGATAATGTACATGGACGTGATTTTTTGTCTGTTAATCATATCAAGGAAAGAGAATTGTGTCAGTTAAATACTAAATATTTTAAATATTAGAAAATTTAGGAGGAAAGTATAGCTCAGTGGTAGAGTGCCTGCTTAGCATGCATGAGGTCCTGGGTTCAGTTCCCAGTCCCTGGTACCTTTGTTGAAATTAATTAATTAATTTTAAAAAGAAGCGTAATTACTCCCCCCAAAAATTAATAAAGTAAAAAAAAATTTATTAAATGAAATATTTAAATTATATGCTTTAAATATTTAAATAAGTGCCAAATTTAGTGTTTAGGTAAATAAAATAAAGGTTGTTCCCTACCTTAGATCCAAGTAAATTTCAAATTTTAAATGGAATACAATGAAACCAGAAGAGAAAAATAGAGGAATATTTATCTAGTTCTTAAGGTGAAGAAGGACTTTCCAGGTACACAGGGTGATGTGGAATTCTCAAGGGAATAAACTGACTGCGTAAAAGCAAAACTCGTAAGTATGCTGAAAATCACTTCGACTGCTAAGTCACTTTCTAATACCCTGTTTATTCCCTCTTCAGAAACTCTACCTGCTGCTTCGAGGTTCCTGCTTAAACTGTCACATGCTGACTTGCCCGCGGGCTGTGATTCACCTCCTGCTCTGCCAGCTGAGAGTTCTGGAAGTCGGGGCGCTCCAAGCAGTGTACGAGCTCGAGCGGATTCTGTACAGGGTAGGTGGGTGGTGGCTGTCATGGAAGTCAGGCGAGCCGAAGGGATGGGAACGAGAGCTGTTTTTGTGTGTGGTCCCTAAGAACAGTCACCAGGATGCTTAATCTTTAAGTCTTGTAACTGGATACCAGTAGCTGGGCGTGAAGTCATGAAGCCATGAGAATAATGGAAGAAATGTTCATGAAAACAACATAGAAATGCCATTTTACCCATCAGGGAGCTTTTTTTTCCCTCCTGGACCCAGGATCCAACCAGAGTTCATGTATTGCTCTGCATTTTTACATCTCTTTCATCTGTTTTAATGTAGAATGTTTTAATATAGAAAATTCTTTTTCTTGATTATGACTTTTTTGAATATATGAAGCCAGTTGTCCAGTGGAATTCCTCACATTCTGGATTTATCTGATTATTTCCTCGTAAAATTCACCTTTTGGTAAGAATATACCTACACGGTACAGGATCCTTCCTAGCACCATCATTTTAGGAGGCACCCGCTGTCAGGTTGTTCCATCACTGGTAATGCTGGGTTTGATGACTTGGATAAGACCGTGACCACTAGATCTCTTTATTGTGAAGTTATTTTTCTTTGTGATGAATCATTGCTTCAGATTTTCTGGTGCTATTATAAATATCTTATTTAAAATTCATTTTTGATTTGTAGATCAAAACATTACTCATTTTTGTATCTTGATTTTTGTATGAAATAATCTGACAAGAGTGTTCATCAATTCTAATACTTTATTTGTAGATTCTTGGAGATTTTCAGCACAATCATACTACCTGTGAATAAGAGTAGTTTTATTTCTTTTTAGTCCTTACATGTTTTGTTTTTTGTTCATACCTTATTTTGGTGGCCAGGATCCACATTACTTTGTTGAAGGGGTAGCACTCATCCTTGTCTTGTTTCTTGTCACAAAGGGAGACCTTTCACCTTTCCTCTTCCCCTTCCCTTTCCTGAATAATTCAGTCTTAATGACATTAGGTGAACAGAGCCGATAAGATTACACACCGGAGGTGTGGCCGAGTGTGGGTTGTCAGAGCCCAAGCAAAGTGAGAAAAGCGTTCCGGGGGAGAGCATCTCTGCATGTGCAGGCAGCTCAAACACTAACCTAAGGTCAGATTTGTCCAAAAGAGAGATTGTGAGAGAGAGAGAGAGAAGGATTCTCTTAAATCTCTATTCAGAGTTAAATTATACTTTTTAGGGATTTGTCCGTTTCATCTGAAGCATCAAATTTATTGGCATAAAATTATGCATGATGCCTGCTACGTTAAAAAAATTTTTTTGGTGAAATATGCACACAGAAATGCATACACACAGTCTAACAAGTAGTTACAAAGTGACCATCGCCCTTATGATGACCTTCAACATCGAGGTAACTGTCCCTGTCTCCAGGAACTCCCTCTCTTTCTCCTCCTCGTGTGCTTATTTTTGACAGTTTGTCATTTTACTTAAAAAATTCTTTGTAGAAATAACTTGAGGTCTAGGATGCTGCAGTCTCCCTCCAGAGAGGAATCTTACTGCTTCTGCCACATGCTTGGTGGCCCAGGACCATCGCAGTCCAAGGCTAAGGTTGCCTGGATTGCAGGCGATGGGAATCTAGGTGGTTTGGTTCCAGGGCTGGTCTAGTTCCCAAGGACATGGCCCTTAGGGTCCCGAGCTTCCTCTGTTTGTGGGGTGGGATATGGGAGGAAGGGATCCTGTTAGATTCCTGTCCTTGCACTAACTCTAGGCTTTGATTTCTGTCCCTTCTGTCATTTGAAGCCTTAAAAATGAAAAGTTAAAAATTACTGGATTGTGAAATGTTTCCAAGGCCAGGGCTGCATCCAGGGAGCATCGCAAGTCTATCAGCATCTTCCCCCGAGGGACACAGCCTCGCTGGGGGTTGCTCTGGGCTGTGCAGCTGTGGCTCCTGTGCCCTTTGACCGGGGTTCTCACTTTCCCTTCGCTTGGGCCTGGTTGTCCCTCAGTGTCCTCTCAGATCCTCAGAGCTTTACGCTTTTAAAAATCCCTTCTCCTGTTTTGGTTCTTTTCAGCTTTCGGTGGAGTCTGAGTCATCTAGCCCACTGTTGTTGGGAGCGGGGTCCTCTCTCTTCTGATTTTTTGTTTTTTTAACAGCAGTGTTGCCGCACTGTTTTGCAGATGTAACACAGCAGCTGTGAGGTTTCTTTCTGTCGCTTCCAACGGACCTTCCCCGCTGCTGGGGAGGCCGCCCCGTGGGGCTGCTAATCATACACTCACTTTACTTTGATAATATGGTGTCTTTCAGTTTCTGGAGGAAAATGCTAACCCTACCGCCTTCGAAATTCAGGAAGAGTTAGAACAATATACAACCAAGATTGTGCAGAACAACCTCCTGGGATCCCACGGCGCCCACGTGAGTCATCCTGTCTCTCGGTTCCCGGAACACTCGGTTTCTGGCATAATTATCACTGTTCCCTCTGCACTGTCATTTTGGCTTCTCAGAGTAGACCTGGGTTTGAGTCCCAGCTCTGCCTCTTACGAGGCCTGTGACCTTGCGACTTACTTAACCGTCCCCCAGGCCACCGTGTCCTTGTTTGTGATGCCTGCCTACAGGACTGATGAGAAAATCAGATGAAATTAGGTGGTTTGGGTACAGCGTCCAGTGAGGTTCCAACTTACGGTCTCACTTGGAGAGTGAGGCCCATGTCCTTTTCTTCCTTCTCTTGCCAACACTCAATGGCTGCTGCCTGCCCGCCCCCTCACAGCACCTGTGGGAGTGTTGGTCTGGTCAGTGAAGGGATGGTGCCGATAATCCACCCCCAGGGCTAATCTGATGTCCCTCGTGCCCAAGTTGCACACCAGAGATGCTGATTTCCTTCGTCTGGGGTGAGGCCCAAGGAGAGGGTCCAAAAGCTCCTGAGTGGGTCTCAGTTGAAGCCGGCTCGGAACCATGAGTGTCACTTAACTGTGGGTGTGCCTTTCTCAGAGCCCTGAGGCCCATCCGAGGGAGGCAGCAGCTGCACCCAGGGAGGTTAGCTTTAAATTGAAGTAAAAGTAGCATGGACCGATAACTGGCCGTACTCCAGGCCCCCCGCTGCATCTGCGATCTCTTCATCGTAGTAGCAGCTTGGTGAGGTGGTTGCTGTTCTTATTCCCGTGTTATAAGTGAGGAGGCTTAAGGAGCCACTCAGTGACTGGCAGAGCTTGGGCATATTCGGGTTCTGTGGAAAATTTTAAGAAAGAGGGTGGCTTCCTCTGGGTTTGTTTTCAGACCACTGAATTTTCATCCAAATGGCACCCTGAGGTCCCTTGCCTTTTTTCAACAGGTGAAAAACGTCTGTGAGAGCAGGAGCAAGCTCCTTGCTGTCTTCTGGAAGGCACACATGACTGCTAAGCGATGTCCCCACTGCAAGTGAGTGCCCGGCTCTTGCCCTTCCCTTTCCCCCGGCGAGGAGCCCCTGGCCAATCACCCACGTCGTTACTCAATGTCTCGTTGGTCTTTTTTTCCTCCCCTCACAACTGTCCTGTGTCTAGAACCGGGCGGTCAGTTGTCCGAAAGGAGCACAACAGCAAACTGACGATCACGTACCCGGCCGTGGTGCACCCGAGAGCCGACCAGAGGGACGCAGAGCCCCCGGGTAAGAGGCTGGGCCCTGGGAGGCCCTCGGCGTGTTTTTCTTGTGTGACCATCAGACGTGTCCCAAACCTTGGACTCCCTGGTCCTCTGCACCCCATGTTTCTCAGTTGCATGCTTGCAGTGGGCCAGCGGATAGCAGGTGTCTGGGTTCTTAGGGCTGGCAAGTGTCCTGATGGGTGCCCAGCCCCAGCCTGTTGCGCAGAACTGACGGGCTGGGCTGCAGCATGAGCCCGCGCCCCACAGGCTGAATAAGGCACCTCTTGCCTCAAGTGGTTGGCTTTTCTGAAAGATTTTTGAGAAAGACGTTAAGAAATTTACTTGTCGAATATTTAGAACCATTTTTTTTGTCGAATAAGTGTGGATTTATTTTGAAGTAAAATGTAGGTGAATTTTTAAAAAAAACTGTGAGCCTCTAAAGGACGTTAGCACCTCCTACAGGCCGCTCCTGGCTGGCCTCTCAGATCCCTGGGGTAGATTGTCTTGCCTTCAGCTCTGCCCTGCCCTTGGGGGTCCTGGGGAGGAAATCTGGGGGACTTAGTACTCCTGCCTTTTTATTTCTGTAGTTGTAAGTTTGTTTAAAGTTTTCTTGTTGTTGTTGTTTCTTTGGAAGTGGTGAAGGTAAATGAGGCATTCCATTTGGAGTGTGGAGGCCAGTGCCCGCTATGGAGTGTGTGAGCGGCACGCATTCCCCATTCATTGTTCATTACATCGCTTGTGCGCCAGGGCGGAAAAGCATCACCGTCACTGACACCTCACTCGGCTTCTTATTCTGAGTGGCTTAGAGAAGGTCACCTCTTAGACTTGGGTTTCCAGCTCTGTATAGTGGCAGCAACAGAACTTCTTACCCAGAGTTGAGGAAACTCCCTGTGTGAAAGTTCATAGCGTATTGTCACTAAACTTCATGCCAGAGTTCACGAACACGGACTAGACAAGGAGCAAGTTCTCTTCCTGGAGTTGCATAATCTGTCTTTTACGTGAAGGACGAGGGCAAGGCCTGGAGTAAGTAACTGTCTGAGTCCTTTTGGGCTTCTTAACAAAAGTACCATGAACTAGGTGTCTTATCAGTAGCAAACAGTGATTTCTCGCAGTTCTGGAGGCTGGGAAGTCCAAGACTGGTGCCAGCACATGCGGTATCTGGAGAGGGCCAGCTTCCTCGCTGACAGCCAGCTATGCCTTGTAATCTCACACGGTGGATAGGGGCAAGGGGACTCTGTTGGGCTCTTGTCATTAGGGCACCAATCCCAGCCATGAGAATTCCAGCCTCATGACCTGATCACTTCCCAAAGGCCCAACCTCCCGACACACCACCACTTTGGGGCGTTAGGATTTCAACACGTGAAACTTGGGGAAATACAAACACTGAGACCACAGCGATAGCAAACCTGTGTCTTGTTACTTTTTAAGTAAACCTCCTGTTTTAGACTAATTTTAGACGTAGAGAAGGGTCACAGACTGAGCACAGAAGGTTGCTGTGTACTCTTTGTTCAGTTTGTCCTGATGTGACGTCTCAGATCACCACGGTGCATTGGTCAAAACTAAGAAACCAGCGTCACTACACTTCCATTAACGGAACTACAGGCTTTGTTTGAATTTCACCAGTTTATCCAGGAATGTCCTTTTCATGTTCCAGGATCCAATCCTGGATACCGCACTGCACTTAGAAAGCCTGCTTAATGGTTAACTGTTAACAACCACCAGGGCGGATTTCCCTGCACCATACGTAGCCCTTAAAACAATTTTTAAGGTTGGGAAACTGCTGCTCTGGCCCTTCGGGTGCCTTAGAAAACGTTCATCGATTGAGAACAGAGATGGTCAGAATTCTAGAAGATAACTATTTCTTTGGGGCAAATATCTAACAGTTAGGTAGGCCTTCAGTGTCTTTGCCAAATCCATTACTTTCAAGCAACCTTCCCCGCAGCTGTGAAAATATGGTGGTGCCACCCCAAATTCTGTGCATTAGCAGCAAGTCAGCGGTAGTCTTCAGTGGTTTTCAGATGGGGTTTTTAGTAGTTAGCAGACGGTTGGTTGTTGGGCACTCAGCCTCGTGCCAGGGGCCCCGCCCGTGGCTGAGCACAGTGCCAAGGTGGACACCTGACTTTGTGGCCTCCGCCCTCAGGGGAGGCTGTGGGTGATGCAGGTCAGTAACCCCAGGGAGAGGTGATGTGAGGGCGGGTGAGCATTCTGAGCAAGGGTCCGGCCACGCTCCTGGTACCAAAGGGGGCCAGGCAGTGAGGCTCGTGCCTCACATGATGGTGGTCCTACAAGGAGCACCATAAGCTTGTGAAATGCCCTATGCTCTCCAGAGGACCCCTCAAGCCCCGTGACGCACGTTGGCATCTTCCAGTGAGAAGTCTTACGACCAAAATGCTCCGCCCACTATGATCCGATCTTCTCCAAGGTGTTTGACTTCCCGGCTTTTTTTTTTTTTCCCCACATGGCAGCTCTGATTTCTGAATGAAACACATGTTAAGGCTGTCCTGAAGTCCATCCTAGGCTTTTTGCAGGCTGCGAAAGTGTCTTGTTAGAAAGGGTGCAGTCCACGTGAGGAGGTGGCATCCCACAGGTCATTCTGCCTCAAATCCTGCGAGTGACTGACCCCAGTCTGCCTTAACAGTGGTCACACCGTGGTGGTCACCTCATGCTCTGGCTGCGCTGGGACAGGAGCTGGAGAGCTCCACCAGGCTCGACTGAGGAATCAGCCCCTGAAGCCAGTTTGTAAGAGAGTCGTTGTTTCTAGAAATGCCCACAAAATTGCTCTTTAGGTTAATGGAGTCTTTTTTTCCCCACCGAACACACATTGCTTTCCAATTCTGTGGTGATCCCTGAAGGTTAGAGCCTCTCTTCATTACGTAGCCCACACTTCCTTCAGTTGCATTAGCTGGGCAAAATGTTCTGCTTTTATAGGAACTAAAATTTTAAATGTGTAAACTCTTGACCTAGCAATTCCACATTTATGATTTGATCCTAAAAATCAGGCATGCTCACAGTATTGTTGAAATAGTTTAAAATTGGAAATGACTTAAATGCCTGTTAATAGAGACGGACTAAATAAATTATGGTACATCTATTAATTGTTATCCAAGTTACAGGCTTCTTTAAAATCTTGTGATGACAAATCTTCTGCAGATGGTAAAGAAACCAGCTAGAGAATAGAAGAATATTGGGCAATATTTAATTTCAGTGAATGTATTCCTGGAGAGGTTGACAGTTTTGAATCCAGAGGGTCACGTTACTTAAAATTGTCTTTGATAATTTTCTAAGTGCTTGGAGCCTCATCTCCCGAATAGCAGCCCCAAGTCTGTTTTTCTAACTTACTCTGGGTAGAGCTGATAAACAGTGTCCCAGAGTGACCTTGCTTAATCCGAGAAACCAAAATCAATCCACTCCTTACGCACCAGTGTGATATTTGTAAGAAGAAACTGACTATACGTTTACCCACAAAAAATGTTCATCCTAATTTATCCATAATTCTGTTGCTGTGAACCTTTCTGGTACAAAGCCATGTGCATAAAGCTATTTATCACAGTATAACTTATAAGGATAAAAAAAATGGGGATGAACTCAGATGTCCAGCTATTAAGACTGTGGTGGAGTCACTTAGGAAACAAACATCCTCTCAGAGGAATGTCATGCAGCCGTTAAGAATGATGGTCGGGCAAAAGCTACGGGGCACCACGCAGAAACGCTCACAGGATGACACCGAGCGAACAAAGCAGCACAGAATAAAGCTAGACCGTGTAACCCAAAGGACCAGGAAAGGATACATAAAAGTGGTAATAGTGACAACATGATGGAATGGTGGATGATTTTTTTTTCTTTTGCTCTGCTTTTTAGGTTTCATACAGCAGTTATATGATTTTCATTTGTTTGGAAATTAGATTAAGGGGGTGGAATCCAGAGCAGAGAATATGCTGTCCGAGAGATTGATTTTGTGGTCAGGCTGCAGGCTCGGCAGGGTGGGGAAAAGAACTGGTAAGTCTCATTA